GAATGAAGTGCACGGACTTGGTCAGCCGATCCACAATCACCCAAATAGCATCGAACTTCTTCAAAGTCCATGACAGTCCAGCTACAAAATCCATAGTGATCTGCTCCCACTTCCACTCTGGAATATCTATCTGCTGAAGCAAGTCACCCGGTCTCTGATGCTCATATTTCACTTGCTGACAATTGAAACATCGAGCTACAAATCCCACAATGTCCTTCTTTATTCTCCTCCACCAATAATGCTATCTCAGATCCTGATACATCTTCGCGGCACCCGGATGAATGGAATACCGCGAGCTATGGGCCTCCTCCAGAATCAACTTTCGAAGCCTGTCTACATTGGGAACGCATATCTGGCCCTGCATCCTCAATACCCCATCATCACCAATGGTCACATCTTTGGCATCATCGTGCTAAACTGTGTCCTTAAGGACAAGTAAATAAGGATCATCATACTAGCGCTCCCTGATGCGATCAAATAAGGAAGACCGAGAAATCACACAAGCCAATACCCAACTGGGCTCCGAAATATCTAACCTCACGAACCGATTGGCCAAGGCCTATACATCAAATGCAAGAGGTCTCTCCCCAACTGGAATATACGCCAAACTCCCCATACTCACCGCCTTCCAGCTCAAAGCATCAGCCACCACATTGGTCTTCCTCATATGGTACAAGATAGTAATATCATAATCTTTTAGCAGCTCCAACCATCTCCACTACCTCAAATTAAGATCCTTCTGTTTGAACAAGTGTTGGAGGCTACGATGATCAGTAAATACCTCACAAGACACACCATACAAATAATGCCTCCAAATCTTCAATGCCTGAACAATGCCAGCGAACTCCAAATCATGAACAGGGTAGTTCTTCTCATGGGACTTCAACTGGCGAGAAGCATAAGCAATAACTCTACCCTCATGCATCAACACACACCCAATATCAACTCTCGAAGCATCACAATACACTGTATATGAACCTGAAGCTGATGGCAAAACTAATATTGGAGTTAAGGTCAAGGTTGTTTTAAGCTTCTGAAAGCTCGCCTTACACGTATCCGACCACATAAAAGGAATACCCTTTTGAGTCAACTTGGTCAAGGGTGATGTTACAGATGAAAATCCCTGGGCAAACCGACGGTAATAACCTGCCAAACCAAGAAAGCTGCAAAACTCTGTGGATGAGGACAGCCTGGGCCAACTCTGAACCGCCTCTATCTTCTTCGGATTAGCCTGAATACCCTCACTAGACACCACGTGCCCCAAGAAATCCACTGAACTGAGCCAAAACTCACATTTGGAGAACTCTGCATAAAGCTTCTCCTCCCTCAACCTCTGCAACACAACTCTCAAATGCTCTGCATGCTCCTCCTAACTACGCGAGTACACCAGAATATCATCAATGAAAACAATCACGAACGAGTCAAAATAAGGCCGAAACACGTTGTTCATCAAATGAATGAACGCTGCCGAGGCATTGGTCAGCCCAAAAGACATAACAAAGAACACATAATGGCCATATCCGGTCCTGAAGGCTGTCTTAAGAATATCCGAATCCCTATTCTTCAACTAGTGATAACCTGAATGAAGATCAATCATGGAGAACACTCTTACTCCCTGAAGGTGGTCAAATAAATCATCAATACGAGGCAAAGGATACTTGTTCTTGATTGTTACTTTGTTCAACTGCTTGTAATCAATGCTCATCCTCATCGTGCCATCCTTCTTCTTCATAAATAGAACAAGCGCACCTCAAGGTGACACACTAGGCTGAATAAACCCTTTATCAAGGAGTTCCTAAAGTTGATCCTTCAACTCTTTCAACTCTGCTGGTGCCATATCATACGATGGAATAGAAATGGGCTGAGTGTCCAACACCAGATCAATACCAAAATCAATATCCCTGTCCGGTGGCATGCCCCACAGGTCTGTAGGAAACATATCAGGAAAATCCCTCATAATAGGAACAGGATCGATACTAGGAGTCTCTGCACTAACATTCCCTCACAAAGGCTAAGTATGAAAGACAACTCTTCCTAACCATCCGCTAGGCCTTCAAGAACGAAATCACCCTACTAGGGGCAAAATCAGTCGAACCTCTCCACTCAATCTATGGCACACCCGGCATAGCCAACGTCACTGTTTTAGCATGACAGTCTAAAATAGCATGACATGAAGATATCCAATTCATGCCCAATATCACATCAAAGTCCACCATACAAAGATATAATAGATCCACTTGGGTCTCCAGACCTCCATTAGTCACCACACATGACCGGTACACATGGTTCACAATAATAGTATCACCCATCGGAGTAGATACATGAACAGATGAAACAAGGGACTCACGGGACGTATCCAAGTAACGAGCAAAATATGATGACACATATGAAAAAGTAGAACCAAGATCAAATAACACAGAGGCATCTCTGTGGCAAACTAAAACAATACTTGTAATCATAGGATCTGCATCAATAACATCAGGTCTAGCTGGGAGTGCATAAAAACAGGCTTGACCACCACCTGATCGACCTCCCCCTCTAGGGCGACCCCTAGCTGACTGACCTCCACTCCTAGCTAGCTGGGTGGGTGGTGAAGTAACTGGCACTGAAGCCGATGTCTGACACTACAAGAAAAAGCCTTATTTAAGACCAACCTTTAGGGACGAGTTAATAATCCCATTGCTAATAATATATGTATTGGGACGAGATTATATTGTGGCCCTTAATGCTTTATTTTATTTCGAAGGTAATAGATCTGGTCCCTAAAAATATAGTAACTGTTCCCAAATTATAATTTAGAGGCCTTGAGTGTGAGAGAGTGCCGCCAAATCTAATACCAAAATATTAAAAAACTATTATTTTCTAAAAATTAGGCGCCAAAACTAAAAGGTAAAAGGTTCTAAAAGCAAAATTAAACCTCTGTATTCTCAAAACATAGTACTGCATAAAATCCTCTACCATAATCTTCGTCTAGCTAGCGTTAGAGCCGATCTCGCTCGTCTGGTCGTGTGCGAAATCGATCAACTAATCATCTGCCCTAGTTTCCATCTCCTCCTGTGAGAATCCAAGGTATGCCTCCTCTTTCAAGTTTCTCTTTTTCTTCTCTATGTGTTCTAATTTCACTAATTGCAGATCTTAGATCTTCTACTTCTTCTTCTTCTCTAACATTAAAAAAATAGTATTTTTTCGTTTATATAATCAGTGGAAAGATTATTGGGTTGGGATTCCTAATTTGATAATTTAATTTTCTGAAGTGTATTCAAGTTTGTAGCATATTGTCTGAAGAATATTATTTCATTCAAAGTGCATACCAGTTTTGAAAGCTAAGTATTCAATGAATGGCATATTAGTTTTATGTATTCAGTGAGGGATTAATCTTGAGGATATTTGGGCTACTATAATTTTTATTGTTGTTTGCTAAAGTTTGTTCTTTGGGATTTCTTCTATAAACTGATTGTTGGGTGCTATTTCTAATGGTTTATACTACTTACATTGTGAATATTTTTGTGCAGTTTACTTTTCCTGAGTATTGTTGAGCATGCTGATTTATTTTCTCTTGTGTACGTGAGCTATATGCCTTTTATATGTTGAGTTTTCAAGATTTATTGCTATTACTCATATTCTAAAATTGTTTTTCAATTGCCCTATTTAATTTGTTGGGAATTAGGTCTCAAAGACTTGATATGTTGGTTTCAACTACATAATTGAAGGTTGTAAGATGTAAAAAAAATAATTATGGGTGTCTGTTATTCTGTCATCTAGCAAAGTAAAAAATTCTTTGAGCTTTATGGGTTTTTATTTGTTTCGTTTTACTTCTTATCTTCTTTAAATTTGTGTATAGTTTATATTGTTCCTTAATGGGTCTGCATATTTCTTTTAATTATGTTAAATTATGGACCAAACTAGTTGAATATTGGAATAGGAGGGGTTCAAATGGAGTGGAATTGATATTCTGGATTAGTAAAGCTAATTAAACTAGTTTGAGATTAAGACGTAATAATTGCAATTTATATTTAAGATTTATGTTTCAATTATGATAATTCAATAATATTTGTATTTTCTTTGATCTTTTTCTTTGACTCATGAACTTTCTTTTTCATTTAATATTTATGTTTCAGTTATCCATGCTTCCTTTCCTTTGTTTTTTTAATTTAATCGGTGGAGAGTTCTATGCTTTTTTTCCCTGTGATTTTTTTAGTGACTTCAGTAGTTTCATTACCAATGCGCGTATTTTTTGTGTCAAACAAAAGTGAGTTGGCCTGTTAGTAGTAAAGCTGGAAATTTTAGGATTTCTCGCCAGATATTCATTTATCTAAGTGTCATCTGATTGTATATTGCAATGTATTAACTGAAAATAGAGGAGCCGAGTCGATTAAAAAGTGCGACCTTAGAGTTGAATCAGTTATGTTCATCTAATCGTAACAAGTAGTGTGTATCGTAGTATTTTTCTTACCTTTTAACTTTATTTAATTTAATTTTTATTTACTCTCCAAGGTTATGACACCTAGTAAGCAATGGATGCACCTAGTAAGAAAGTAACCTTTTACAATAATCTAACAGTTGGAACAAATAGCAAACTATTTTCGAGGCACTTGGGAAAAATCGTTCGTGACCGTAATATGTGTCCGTTGGGAGTATCATCGTGGAATGATATTAAGGAAGAAAAGTTGAATCACATGTGGGCAGCTATTGAGGTAAGCAAGATATTTATGCAGTGAAGATGCATATCATTTAGTTGAATACATGTGTTCCTGTTTGTGCCTCTATGTTGAAACACATTGCTGTTTTACCCCTATTTAGAAACAGATTCAGTCACAGCATTGTCTGTGTAAGAAGTCCATACATGGTCTCTGTCCAGAAGTAAGAACTGGGCAGCTTCCCTTGCTTGATGTCTTTCCATTTTTGTTCCAGCATATCCTCCAATTGTATTATTATGTAGCTCAATGTATCTCGATCAACCTGCTATCCATACTGTATATATGTTTAGTATACACCTATGACAATAGTGTTGTAAGCTGTCTATAATAGGTCGTTAACTTGTGCAGTTAGTATTTAGTTTCCCTTTTTTTTGAACTATTCCAGTACAGATGGATCAACTGGTAAGGTCCTAGATCAGATATCATGCTCCTCTGGTTAATAGCTCTGGTCGTTTTTCTCTCTAGGTAATGTGTTTTACAAGCTCTGTCAATTTGCTCTTTATCTTTTTGAACTGAAATACTTTACTTTTTTGGAACTAAAATGCTCTCCAACCTCCTTAATTATTGGCTATTTTGCAACTTTCCCCTTAAACTATTTTTTTAGCCTTCTTTTCTCAAACTATTTTAGCTTTGTGCTAGAACCATTTTTCCATAAGGGTGGCTGTTAAATCTAAAGAAAAAATACATGGCAGTATGGTACCAAGCCACCAATGCACCATTAGTATTCTCTCTGTCCTATTTTGAATGTATCACTTATATGTAGCTTTTTCTTCCATTGCACCCAATCATTAGCTTGCCTCATGTAGTTTATTCCTTTCCATTCGAGCAACTTGGTGACCTCAATACCTATATATGTGAAGTGTGTATTGAGGTATTCATATGGATGTATAGTGTACTGATCAACTGGACACTGAGGAAAACTATGCCTAGTATGCTCTCATCTTTCATGCTTGTGCTTATCTGTATAATTTTTGGAGAATATTAACTGATTCAATTGTTAATTGCTGTAGAGTTTGAAATAACAGTTGAAACTATATTATATGTTAATTGCTGTATAACTACGGGAGAGTTGCTCCTAACACATGATTATGAGTAGTTACTAAAACTAAACTAATTCATTAACTCAACCAAGTTTTGATTATTATAGGATAAATTTGAGAGTGTTGACATGAATGGTCATCGTGATCATATCTTCACATGGATGAAAGAGTTATGGAACAAATGGAGAGGACACTTGCATGCAAAATATGTGAAGGATAAGCCAATTCAATAGGTTCTTAAGAATATTCCAAAGGGAGTAGACAAGAAAGAATGGTAGTGGTTATTAAAGGAACATTTTTCTTCAGAAAATTTTCAAGTATGCCTAGTGATTTAATAATCTATTTCTCTAAAGCATCTGCACCAGCCTAGTGATTTAATAATCTATTTCGCTAAAGCATCTGCACCCTGATTCCCCTCCCTAGCACTTCAGCTGAAAAGTTGATGTTTCAAGAGCTTATGTCTTGATCATTTCAGATATACATGATGGCTGATATGAACTCTCGTCTAAGTTTCACTTATTTAAGTTATCGAATTATGTGTTTGGATGCGTAGTTTCAGCTTAAGAATCACGACTCATGCACCAGAACAGGGGAAATAGAAAAGTTAGAACTACGATGAAGCTATTAAAAAGCTTAGATCAACAGAATGAATTCGAATATGGTAATTCAAGTGGTTAAAGTTGGATTGAAGAACATGTATTAATATTACAGATTGGTGTGTTTCACCTAATTTTTCTTGCACCTTTGTTTTCCTTTTGGTACAGTAAAAGAGGTTATAAACCATTGGAAGGAACTGACTTAAGTTACTGAATCATAGAAGCAATCAGTCTATAATTCCAGGCCGCATTCAATTGAAAAGATGACTAGCAGCTGAATATCCCTTTCTGACTCGTTATCCATCAACTTAAGAAAACTAGGAGAGGGGAAGAAAGAAAATAATGAAATATCTTATAATAGTATTCTGGACAGCACCCACAGATGTTTCCATGACAACTCATAGAGCTGATATTAGTCATGGAGAACTCATTTTACAAACTTTCTTTGCGGCAAATAGCTTCAGAAATTAGTACTAGTATAACTTAATAGAGCTGATATTTATGTTGCCCGGAGTTGAAGTTCGAATTCATTTTATTGATCTAAAGTTGAAGGAAGAATTTTGGTAGACCCCAACAAAAGTAAGCGATGGTGTTTCAAGAGAGAACTGAGAATTCAAAAGAGATTAGTAAATCCTCTTTTACTCTACAACATCTTGATTCTGTAAAAGAAAATAAAACATGAATTATGAGTAAGTGTGAAAATTGAACTTTATATTTACTCTTTGGTAAATAAAAAGTAGTCACAAAAAAATTGTTATTACTAAATATGCAAAAAGACTATAGTATTGTCTCTAGCAGCTAATATGTAAAAATTGGAATAGAGGCCTAAATTTTGTTTTTGTGACTTATCTAATCCAAACTTCTGTTCATAGTTCTATTGAAAATTTATACTGCTGATTTATTAGGACATATCGACAGATAATAACTTTACTGGAAAGTGGAAACCAACCCCACTAAAAGTATGTGATGGTGATTCAAGAGAGATCTCAAAAACACACTGTTCTCAATTTTCCCATGTGTTTGTTGCATCTTGGTCATATAGCTATTTTGCCAACAGTTACATATATGTGCTAAAACTCTCGTTGGTATGAAAATCGGTGGAAAGAGTGATTTAATGCTGTAAGTTATAGACGGAGAGAAATATATTCATTGGAAGTTTTCTGACGTAGTTCTCAACTCCTCTAGTAGAGACATATCTATGCAAAAATATACTCTAATAACATATTTGCAGCATGACTGTTAAATCTGACTTGAGCAGTTGAGTTTTTTGCAAGTACATCTGGAATAGCCTTGATTTATGGACCTTTGTACTTTGTCTCTAGTGAACCTTATAGTTCCATCTCTAGTGAACCTTATAGTTCGACATGACCTATCTCTGTGCTTTTGCCTTCATATTCCTTGAGGCCAAGTGTTCAAGTATATATTGTATGTTGGAACATTAAGTTTATTCTGAAGATTTTTAGAAGCTCAACTTATTATGTAAGTTTATTAAATATCTTACATTTAATCTTAATGTTTCACAAATATAGGCGAGAAGCAACAGGAATGCGGCAAATCTAGCTAAGTTGAAGATGCTTCATCATATTAGTAGCAAGCCTATTCGTGAGATCATTTATCAAAAGGTATTATCATAAAATTTATATTTTCCTAAGAAAAATATTTACGAGCTGTTATTTGACATGTTTGCCTTTGATGTAAAGGGCGGAAAAGATGGTAACCCACCGAATTTGGCAACAATTTTCTTTGAGACCCGTAAGAAAGATATCAAGCTTGTTGAACCTGAAGCAATTGAAAAACATGTATGTTTGGTAAATTTAATATGTAAATTACTTGAAATTATGGTGGATTCTGATTTTAAATATTTTTTTTATATATTTTGTAGGCTCAAATAGAAGAAATAGTTCAAGCAGATCCATCTCTACCTAGCATAGAGATTGTAGAAAAATGTTGTGGACCTCAAACTCGTAGCCATGTGTTTGGATTTGGGGGTGGAGTCAAGGCGAAAGACTTGAAAGGTGGAACTTCTTCAAAGGCTGAATTACTGTTCGCGCTACGTTCAGCTTGAAAAGAAAACAAATCTTTGAATGAGGAAAACAAATCCTTGAATGAGTGCTTGTCTACCTTAGAAGATGAGATAAAAGAAATGAGGAAAATAAGAGAGTACTTCGCTGCTCAACAATCACATGTCCCACTTACGATGACATCGCCCGTTTCAACTGAATGACCACTGTTTTTGTCTGCTGACCAAGCTAGTAACAATATACCCAACTTTTTAATTTTTATTCATGATTTGTGTATAGTCAATTTCTATATTATAGATTTGTTTGACTTCACTCTTCTAAAAGGAGAACAATTTAATTAATGTACAATGGTGCAGTAAGTAGTCATAGCTTCCTATGGAATTTCAATCTTTAAGCAAATCAGGAATGTGTGGTAGGAATTTGAGGAGTTGTTAGCTGGAAAAGTAGACGATGTCTGTGCTCAATAAAAGTAGATGATATGGTTCTCTTATGATTAAAAATACCAAGTTTATACAACGCGTCATATAGTGTCCCACCCGATTTTGAATGTCCCACCCGATAAGCTATAAACACATGTAGTTGTGTACCTAAGACTGTTATGTTCCTAGGGATCTGTCTCTTGATATATGTAATTAGTAGTTTGGGTCCTGAAATTTCTCCAACACTGAAGTAAAAGTCTTTTTGGCCTTTCTGTACATTTTTAAACATGATTTTCCTATCCTTTTGCCTCTTCATAATTTGTGTTTTTACCTGAATTATGCTAGTTTTAACCAGCAAAAGTTTATTCTTTTGAAACACTCTGTATCTTTACTCTTTCATGTCAGCCATGTTGGTTTAATAATCATTTGATTATGTGAATAGTGGCTCTCTGTGTCAATTAGTTTTGGCCTGGTATAAACGCAGAACGTGTGGTTGAATGAATGATTTCTCTGTCGTTAAAGCTTAGATGATATGGCAACATTCTATTCTCCATGTATTTGTCGGAAGCATTTCATAGCTTTTACTTACACCTTAGCCACTTATAGGTTATATTTGTCGCTCTCAATCTCAACAATAAAGTCCGCGATCGCCCCTACATCATAGGTTTCGTTTGCCAAGCTAGAAATTAGCTTAGTGATGTTGTTGTCTACTCATAATAGTTGGTATCTTGAATGGTAAATCTCGAATTATCGTACCTGGATTTATTGAACCAAAGTAAGATTAACCATCCCAAAGTTTTTCTAATTAATTTTTCTTATATTCTTATAGCCTTGTTGATGTTGGTGGATATCACCTGGTGAATTTTGACTGCTTTCGGGGTAAGCAATTTAACTATTTCTCATTTAAAATTATATATGTTATTTTACCAATAGTTATATATCATTTTTTCAATCTTTTATACTTACAGGTTTTGAAGACTGAAGCTACAAGTCAAGATTTAAGTTTAGAAGATGTACAAGCTCATTATTATTTTGCTAAAAATGTTATGGAAAACTTGATATCATAGTCTAGCTCAGGATGATAGCTAAGTTTTTTTTTGTTGAGGTGTTGAGAAAACATAGAAAGTAACATCATCATGGGATTTGAACTTGATATCTTATGTTTTTATATCTAGATTTTTCAATAACAATTCGATATTGATTGATAAAAATTACTTTTTATGGCATTGAGCTTTTAGGACTACTCATGGTTATTAAGAGACCATGAATACAATCGCTAAATTATAAAATTATTTTAAATAGTGACGTCGTCTCTAAACATAATCTAGGACCAGTTAAAGGTTGGTCGCAAAAATGGTAATGATAAGAATGATGACCAAGTTTTTTGTTCCATCTCTAAAAGATAATTTAGGACCAGTTACAGTTAGTCGCTAAAATGGTTTAACGATGGGAATATATATTTTTCATCGTCTATTAGGGACGAGAAATGTAATCTCTAAAAGTTATTCACGACCAGGTTTTTTGTCTGTCTCTAAAAGATAATTTAGGACCAGTTACAGTTGGTCGCTACAAAGATTTCATGACGGGAATATATATTTTTTATCGTCTATTAGGGACGAGAAATGTAGTCTTTAAAAGTATTTAACGATCGGATTTTTTGTATGTCGCTAAAGTGATTTAACGACCAGGTATCAAGACCCGTTGTTATTGACATTTAGCATCGGAGGCTATTACGACGGGTTACGACCAGCCGTTTCCCCTCGTAATTTACCCATTTAGGACCAGATTTTAATCTTTAGGGACTAGAATTCCCTTCCTTAAAGGCAGATTTTCTTGTAGTGTGACTCCTCTGTTGAGACGAACCCCCAAGACGACGAGGACACTGCCTCCACATGTGGCTCAACAATCCACACTCATAACAACTCCCTGCTGCTGGAGACGGGGACTGAAGGGAACCCCAAGCACCGGAATGACTAGCAGATGCACCTGGCATAGAAGAGCCCTGAACTGATGGAGCATGGGATGAACTCTAGGCCAGAAGAGCACTGGTGATGAATGGACCTAATGAGCACTATGAGAACCATGACCCGATGATGCCCCACGATAACCTGGGCAAGCTTACTGAGCATGTTTGAACGGACGTCCTCTACCGTGCTGAAACTGCCCTCTCGAAGGAGCACCGCCATAACTACCAAATTCCCGAGGCCTCTTGGCCTCCCTATCATCTCGCTCCTGGTGACAAAATGACTCAATCTCGCGAGCAATGTCAATAACCTTCTCAAAAGTAGCACCAGACACCCTCTCCCTGGTCATGAGAATACGAAGCTGATATGTGACGCCATCAACGAACCTCATAATCATATCCCTCTACGTAGGAACCAATCAAAAAGCATGACGATCTAACTCTGAGAACCTCATCTCATACTGTGTCACGGTCATATCTCCCTGACGCAACTGCTCGAGCTGTCTGCGCAGCTCCTCTTTACGAGATTGCGGCACATACTTCTCCAAAAAGAGAACAGAGAACTGCTTCCATGTAAGGGGTGTTGCACCAATAGGCCTACGCCTCTCATAAGCCTCCCACTAAGTGAAGGCAGCTCCAGAAAATTGAAAAGTTGTGAAAGTGACCCCGCTGGTCTCCAGAATTCCCGATGTGCAAAGAATCCTCTAACACTTGTCCAAGAAACCATGGGCATCCTCGCCCTCTGTAGCACTAAAAGTCGGAGGCTGAAGTCTGCCAATCCTCTCCAACCTATGTTGCTCGTCCTCTAGCATAACAAGAGCTACATAGCCTTGAACAGCTGCAACCGGCTAGGCTGGAGGTGCCCCCGGTGTCTGAAGTACCTGCACGACCTTCTTAGGTGTGCGAGCGGCTGGAGTCTGAGTGTCTCCCTCGGCCTGAGAAGTAGTTGTGGCTGAGCTAGACCAATACATACTTATAGAATCTGGACCAGGGCCTCCTGAAGACCCGGAATCACAGTGGCCATAGCTGGTGCCTGAGTTGTTGTTGTTAGAGCGTCCACAGCTGGGACCTGATCATGAACTAGGGCGGCTGGTGTATTTGCAGGTACTGCCCTAGCTGCTGTGCGGGCTAGACCTTTGCCCCTACCACGGCCTCTAGTGGTCCTAACTGGTGGTATTGGTGGTCGTCGATCCTGACCAATAGCACGTGTCCTCACCATCTGTGAAAGAAAAGATTAACAGAAGTTTAGTACTCAGATCAACAGATTCGCACG